GATGGATGGATGGATGGATGGATGGATGGGGGGCACCATGTGAGAGCAGAACAGGGCTGGGGGGATGTTCTGAGCAGCCACGTGTGTCCCACAAAGCTCCCAGCCCTTCAGATGCTCTGGTGCCACTTCAGGATGGGCAGCTGCCCCCTCCAGCTCCCAGCCTCACCATCATGGCTGGAGAAGGGACATCCCTGCAGGAATGGGGACAGAGGTGGCACCTACAGCAACCCCAGGGTGCACATGGGAGGAGAAAGAGGAGGAAGAAGCAATGAACTCCCTGGATTGTCCAGGTCACATCCAGGCTCTTCCATTCCAGCTTCATTCCTTCTCCCACACACAAAAATCCACGCCCTGAGGCAGAGCCAGGGCAAAGGCTGGGCAGGGGTGGGATGGGAAGGCAGGAACCACCCCTGTGGCAGCAGGGAGCAGCCCCAGGGACACTGACCCGCGGTCCTCAGCGCCGGAGGGTGCAGGATCTGGGATGGAGGTGTCAGCCAGGACGTTCTCCTGGACTGCTTCTTCCCAGCTTTGCTCTCCTCTTCTCTCCTGGGCCGTAGGGCCTCCCTGCACAGGATGAGCCAGGTCCTGCTCTCCTGCAGATTTCGACTTTGCAACTCAAAGAAAATGAACCCAAAAGTGCCTTTTGAACCCCTAGGAATCCCAGGCCCCCTCGGGCGGATACAGATGGGGAAGGGGGTGAGAAGCTTGCATAGCCCTGGGGCTGCTCTTCCTGATTTTAATGATCTTGGCCTCATTCTGCCTTTTTTCCCCTTTTTTTTTTCTTGCTGACACCTCCTCAGAGCCTGGCCCTGGAGGTTTATTATTGCTTGTGCAGAAGCGTCCCCGGGCACCCACATTGGCAGATGTTGGATCTTAAATCCACGGATGAGAAGCTGTCAAGGCACATCCGTGCCCAGGGTGGGGGAGTCTGTCTTTGCCAAGGGAGTCTGTCTTTATCCCCCCCAGTTCAGTTCCTCCCAAGTCCCACATCACCCCGGAAGACATTTCTCTTGGAAATTCATTAAAAAAAAAAAAATCGGACCAAAACCCCCACCAACACCAAGAAAAGAACCACAAACAACTACCAGGAAAGTTTTCTGAAGAGTCCCTTACAAAAAAAGGGAAAAGGTGGGGGGAAAACAGGAAGCATTTTTCTCCCAGGCCCAAACACTGCTGATCTTTTGGCTCAAGAAATGCATAGTTGGTAGCAAAAACTTTGCTACATCAGGAGCCCCTGGGATGGCTCCTGAGCCCTGAGGGCTCTCCACAGGGTCAGGACATCGGGGTCATCCCTCCCCGACCCTGAGGTCCCCATGGTTCTGACCCTGCTGGCCTGTGGCACCTCTGTCTCCAGCCGTGTCCCAGCACAGCGAGGTCACTCTGCCAGCTCCGGGACACGGCCGGTGCTCCCACAGCCCTCCCGGCCCCGTCCTGCCACGGCCGTGCCCGGGGCTGGGCAGCACACAGCGGTTCTCCTCTGGGAGAGGCTCAGATCATCTTCATGTTGAACTTCCTGGCCCCTCCTTGGCCGGTGGTGGTGGTGGGACCGTCCACCTTGCGGAAGGAATATTCCACGGAGAAGTTGTTCTTGTGCTGCCCCCGGCCGCGGCTCCAGACGAAGAGCAGGAGGAAGCAGAAGAGCACCACGCCCAGGAAGGTGATGCAGCCCATGGCCGTGGAGACCAGGATGGTCTTGAGGTCCAAGGTGAACTTCAGGAAGACCTGGGTGTCGTTGTGGAAGGTGTCGTTGAAGTCGCTGAGGTACAAAGTCCGGTTGGCGTGGTGGGCGCCGTCGGCCGGGCGCCCCTTGACCGTCAGCGTGGCGAAGTAGGTGTCATTGCCGCCGGCATTGCTGGCGATGCAGATGTAGGTGCCGCTGTCCTGCACCTGGGCGAAGCGGATCTCCAGGGTGCCCCCGGGCAGCACCGTGGCCCGGCCCGTGCTGCGGGTGGTGATCATGCGGTGCTGGGGGGACACCCAGGCGATGGAGGGGTCGGGCTCGCCGTCGGCGCGGCACAGGAAGGACACGGACTGGCCCTCCCGTGCCGTCACGTGCTGCAGCTTCCGATCCCGGATCTTGGGCTTCTGGCAGGTGAAGTACTCGAAGAGCACCGAGTCCGGGAAGTCGCGCAGGGCGTTGCCCTGGATTTCGGGCGGTGAGGAGCACATGGGCTGCTGCCCGTCGAAGTTGAGCGTCTTCCGCCGCTGCAGGATCCAGAGGAGCCGGCAGTCGCAGGCCAGGGGGTTCCTGTCCACCCGCAGCGTCTCCAGCGTGTTGACCGAGTGGAAGGTGCTCTCCTCCAGCGTGGACAGGAAGTTGCTGGAGAGGTTGAGCAGCCGGATCTGCCTCAGGCCGGAGAAAGCCTGCGGCTCCACGGACACCAGGAGAGCGCCCACGATGTGGAGCTCCTGGAGCCGGATGAGGTCTTTAAAGGAGCCCTTGAGCACAGTGCTAATGGGGTTGTAGGACAGGTTGAGGTACCGCAGGTACACCAAGTTCCTCAAGGCAGCGGCGGGCACGGCTGTGATGTTGGTGTAGGTGATGGAGAGCGAGGTGAGGTTCAGGCCCTGGAAGCTGGTGGGAGACACCTCCTCCAGCAGTGGCCAGTTGTCGATCTCCAGCTGCAGGAGATTGTAGAGCTTCTTGAAGTTCTGGTCCTCCAGGGCAGAGATGCTGAGATGCCGGAGCCGCAGCACCTCCAGGTTCTGGAGGTAGGACAGCGACTCGGCCGAGATGGAGGTCAGGTTGCACTTCTCGATGGTCAGCTGCTCCAGGCCCAGCAGCCCCGAGAAGGCACGCTGGGAGATGTACACCAGGTCATTGTCACCCACCTCCAGGCTCTTCAGGTTGCGCAGATCCTGGAACATGTAGTCCAGCAGGATGACCAGCTTGTTCTCGCTGATGTCCAGCAGGGTCAGGTTGGTCAGCTTGGTGAAGACCCCCGGGGGGATGAGTTTGAGCTGGTTCCCCCGCAGCCGCAGGGTCTGCAGGTTGAACAGGTTGCTGAAGGCGCCGGGCTCCACATTGGAGATGATGTTCTCGCTGAAATCCAGCTCCTCCAGCAGCGGGTACGGGGCCAGGTCCCCGGGGTTGAGGCAGCGGATGCGGTTCTTGTTGAGCTCCAGGACCCTGGTCTCGGTGGGGATGCCCTCGGGGATGGCGGTGAGGCGCTTGCGGTGGCACAGCACGGAGCGCAGCTGCGGGGCGCACTCGCAGCGCGCGGGGCAGGCGCCCGCCCGCGGGGACAGCAGGACCACCAGCACCGGGAGCCACCATCTCATTGTGTGGGGCATGGTCTAGGGGCTCACTGCCGTTCTGCCATGCGCCTGCCATGGAGAGAGAGCGGAATCAGCGGGGACAGTCCTACCCGGCACCACAGATGACCTACAGTGCTCCCCAAGCTGTGGCCAGTGGCCCCAGTCCCTCCAGGAAACCTCTGGATCCCTTTCACCCGCTGTGCAACCCGGGGATCCTGCCCTGGGATAAACGAGCCTCACTCTCCATCGGAACAGGGAAAGAGGCGGGGGAGAGGTTTGAGAGAGGAGCCAGGGCTGCAGACCCACACCTGAGCCTCTGCCCCCGCTGGCACAGCCCTCCCTGTGCCCCCTCCCTGTGCCCCCTCCCTGTGCCCCCTCCCTGTGCCCCTGATGGTGCAGGCACGGGCAGAGGGGATCGTGAGCACCCTGGGATAATGCGGGCCACAGACACAGGCAGGGCAGGGCAGGAGCAAAGAGATGCTGGCAGAGACGTTGCCAACTCGTGGCACAGCTGGGATGTCCCGTTCCCTGTGGTGACACAGCTGGGATGCCCCATGCCCTCTGCTCCTGGTCTCATCCAGTGGCACAAATTCTCCCCAGGCCCTCAGCTTGGAGGGGTCCCGTAAAACGGGGGACACTCGGTGCCGCACGTAGGGCCCGGTCCCGGTCCCGGTCCCGGTCCCGGTCCCGGTCCCGGTCCCGGTCCCCGTCCCGCCCTCCCGGAGCGCAGATTAAGGCTGCCCCGGGCACAATCTTTGCCGAGCAGGGATTAACACCGAGCCCGCGGAGCCGTGCCCCCGCTGCCCTCCTTTCCAGGGATTAGCACTTCGCCGCCGCTTTCCCTTTTCTTTGCTTCCCCTTCCCCTTCCCCACTCCCTGTCCCCATCCGTGCCCCAAATCTGCCAGGCTGCCTGGAAACGCAGCTCCCAGCGCCACCGCAAACTCCTCAGCGCCTTTCCTTAATGAAGCACGGTCATTAACCTAATTAAGTGGCAGAGTTGCTCGGCTGGGGAGCTGCGGGGTGTTTTTGAACCTGGCAAGAGAATATTGGGGGTACCGAGAGCAGAGCCAGCCCCTCCAGCCACCCCTGTGGAGGTGCAGGGAGCGGGGCACTGACACCTCCCGCATGGGGGGCTTTGTCCCATCGCTCCCACTGCACTGGGACAAACTGGGATGCTGTCCCCGAGTTCCAGCCCTTCTGACTTCCAGGGAGCCCGAGCTGTGGCTCCAGGGATCCCTTCACACGCTCCCTTCTGTCCCTCTGGGCACCTCAGGGACCACAAACTCGTCTGTGGGAGCCCAGCAGGATGTGGGTGAGGGAGGGAAGAGGACGATGTGACATCAGTGGCTGCTCAAAGCCATCGAGATGTGGCTGCAGTGCTCCACCCTGGTGCCACTGCAGGTCCTCAGTGCCCAAAAGGTCCTGAAAAGGCCGACCTTGAGGTGGCTGCTGCTTGGCTTAGGGGGTGACAGGAGAGCAGTGGGGACCCCAGATCCCCCAGAGAGGTGACACTGATGGAGCAGGGACAGCAGGAGCTGGCCCAGCCCAGCATCTCCTGCTCCTCACACTCTGTGCTGACAAAGGACACCAAAGGCTGGTGTCACCCTCCCTGCTGTCCCCATGGGCTGGTGGCACACAGGACTTCAGGGGGCTGGGGGTTATTGACTCTCAGTGCTCGTGTCTCAGGGAAGGATTCAATCTCCATGGAGAATTTCCTGCCCTGATCCTATCACCCGACAGGAGCAATTCTCTGGGATTAACCCCATGGCTCAAGTGCAATTTTGGAAGGACGGGAGATGAGCTTTTGGACACTGCTCTCAGGGATGCTCAGGGTGGGATTGTTGGGGGGTCTGTGCAGGGCCAGGGGCTGCACTGATCATCCCTGAGGGTCCCTTCCCCTCAGGATATCCCAGGACTCTGTGATCTTTTACAAACGTGGGGATGTGGCACTGAGGGACAAGTGATGTCCTTGGCAGAGCTGGGGTCGCAGTTGGACTCGATGATTTTAGAGGGATTTCCAACCTAAACAATTCTATTCTGAGTCTATGACACTTTTTTTTTCTTTTTTTTTCTTTTTGTGTGTGTATGTATCTTAATTTTGCCACATTTCCCTTCTTCTTCCAATGAATCAAACCAAGAAGGAAGTGTCACCATTTCACACAACCACAGGATTCCCAGCTGAGCTGGGGCACATGGGGGTGGGACCACCGACCCCACTGCTGCCCCTGCCCCTTTCTCCCCTCTCTCCAGCACTGCTAAGCTTCACTCCTTGCACCAAACCCCCTTTGGGGGCTGGAGGTCCCCAGATGCCACCTGGGCACTGGAGCTGCTCTGCCTTCCAGGAAAGTCACTTTGTGAAGGCTCTGCCTGGCTGGTGGCCCCAGGAACCTGAGCTGGCACTGGGGTGAAGTGGGGGCAGCTCCCCTTGGTCCCCTGGTTCTGGAGGCCCCACTCTTGCTCTGCCCTGGGGCTGCATGGGAAAGATGCCCCAAGCACGACCTGCAAACCCACAGGACAAAACCCTCCCTATTTATTGTGACACTTCATTGTCCTGTTCACTGCCTTTGCACTAAAGAAAGGTGCCCATGGGCCCCTTTCATGGTGTCCCACGCTGGGCCGTGTCCCCGTGCCCACCATCCCTCCCTGCTAGCCCTGGGGGGGGATCCAGCCCTTGCCCTCCCTGCCTGAGGCTGTGCCCGTGTTCATTATGGATGAGCCGGGGGTAACCCAACTCCACTTTTGGTTACTACTGCGGCCACCTGATCCTCTAAGCAAAGCTCCAGCCTCGCTGGAGTTGTTTTCCCTGGCAGATGGAGAGCGGGAGCCACAGCCCTGGGCTCACCTTCCCCCTCCGCAGCCAGAGCATCACCAGCGCTGCCCCACGGCTGCTGCACCGGCCCCACAAACCCCACAGCGGGGCCAAGGGCTGCTGGATCAGCCATCCCTGCAAATCCAGGCAGAGCCGAGCCGGTGTCCGCTGCCCCAGGACACCCCGCAGAGCTGCTGAGACCCTGTCCCCTGCAGGGACACCTGGGTCCCTCCCTGTCCCGTCCCGGGCAGAGCCGGCCGGGCCGGGCTGTTTATTAATAGCTCATTACGGTGATTGTGCGGCGCTTTCCGGGCTCGCCCGGCCCCTGGGGAGCCAGGGTAATTAAGATCCAGAGCAAGGCCTAGATAGAGGCTCTTCTCCTCATTTAATTTATTTTTAAAAATAACAAGCTTGCTGCATGCAGGGCTGGGGACAGAGCCAGCAAAGCCCCAGGCTGAGGGACTGGGATGGGGGAAGCAGAGAAGAGCAATTGTGGACAATTTGGACAATTGGATAATTTTGTGAGCCCCTGGAGCTTTCCCTGCCTCATTCCCTACTTCTCCATCAAGATTTGGGACCCCTGAGCTCGTTTTGTCCCAGCCACCAGCAGCACAGAAGAACTGCTGCTCTCCAGCCACCCTGGCTTGGGGTTACCCAGGGAAGCTGTGTCTGCCCCTGGATCCTTGGAAGTGTCCAAGGCCAGGCTGGACAGGGCTTGGAGCAGCCTGGGACAGTGGAAGGGGTCTCTGCCCCTAGCAGGGGGTGGAAGGAGATGGGCTTTAAGGTCCCTTCCATCCCAAACCATTTGGGGATTCCATGACTCCTGCAGGTGGGGTTTTGCTCCCTCTCCACCCTTCAAACAGCTCCTGCTCCTCTGGCACAAGCTTGGTCCTGCCAGCTCCTCCAAGAGCAACTGCTCCTCAGCTGCCATTATTTCTGCCTTTTTGTGAATAAAGACTGAAAAATGAGCCCAGGTTGCCATTTCCAGGTTCCCCGGCTCAGACACTGCATGAGCACAAACATCTCAGTCAGAGCAAGGTCTTGTTTTATCCTTCCCTTGACATGCAGGATGCAAAATGCTGAGCCCTTCTCATTCCAGCACCCCAGTGCTGCTGCTCCAGGCCAGGCTCCTCCATGGCAGGGGCCAGAGGCAGCCAGGGGATGCAGCTGCATGTCTCCAGGGATGCAGGGAACTGCAGGATAGGATGGAGACCCCAAAGCAGGGAGGGAGCAAATGGAGCAGACAGTCAGTGATGGTGGGACCCCCACCCTGGAAACACGGACAGGGGGGACAACCCCAGTGCTCTGTCACATGGGTATCAGGGAGGTGCCAGTGCCAGTGTATCCCAAACTTGGCATGAGGCAGGAGACAGCTCCTACAAACACCAGCAGCAGCCAAATGCTGTTGGGAACACCCCAAGTGCTGCCCTGCCTGGCAGCCGAGTGTCCCCACACCATCCTCACGCCCTGGCTGCTGTCCCCAGCCCGGCTCCGTGCCAGGGAAGGCAATGCCAGCCGTGCTGGGCTGTGCCAGCATCCTCACAGGCACTGTCACCCTGCTCAGCCCCGGCACAGGGCTGGCGTTGGATGGAGTGTCCAAACATCCCTGTGGTGTTTCCCAGCTCACTGACAGCTTGCCAGGATTGCTGCTGGACTCTCCATCAGGACAAGCTCCCTGTGCTTCCCTGTCCTGGGCTGTGACCTGGGTGAGATCTCGATTCCCAGGAACAGGAATTCGTGGATCAGGCAGGCTCCATGGATTCGTGCCTCCCTGAGCTGCTGGCAGGGCCTCGGAGCAGAGGATGGGGCACTCTGGATGCTGATGCCAACAATTCCCTGGCTCCAAGCTCTGCCCATGGGGAAGGGAAAACTGCAGCCAGAGCTGCTTCAGGACAGAGCTCCTCCAGAGCTAAGAGGAGCCCAGACCCCAGTCCTGTGCCAAAGCCCGTCCAGACATCTGCTCCTTCTTCCCTGCTGAGCCCTCAGTTCCACCTTCCAAAAACACTCTTCACCCCATATGATTTTAGGATGAAAAGGCAAGAAATGAGGGTCCCTGGGGTCTGCTCCATGCTCAGCTCCACTGATAACACCCCCCACGCTGATCATGGCACCAGGGGCTGCTGGGGGTCCCCAGGGGGATGTCCTGGCATTGTTCAGAGCTGGCAGAGCACAGTTTGATGCCCGATGTGAAGTCAGGGAATCCAAGTGTGTTTTTCCAGCTGTTGCTGCAGCTCAGAGCAGAGCACAGTTCCCAGGGGC